CCCCCCCCCCCCCCCCCAAGTAAAACTTGAATAACTTTAAATAAATCAGATGACCTGAATGAAAGCATAAAATCATATATAAACTAAAAACGACTCATTTCAGGGAGGACCAAACCATAATTAATAACAATAGCTAAAATGGCAATCTGTATTTCTTACTATTTTGTATTTGGATTTTGTATATTCATTGATTTCCTCAGTCACTGATCAGTAAGCGTATATAAAACATCTCATGATTCTGAAGAGCATCAGGACAAAGACAAACCCTAATGGGCAAAATGGGAATTGTTGGTCAGAATATGCTTAAAGTATACACATTAAAAAATGATTCATTCTGCCTCTGAAAAAAAAAATCAATGAAGCACTTTGGCTCATATTATACCCTCATTCCTTTTCAAACAATCAGAAGACGTTGCATGCTTCTGAAAACATACAGTGACAATATTACCTCTCAGAGAATCAAACACAGTTATGGATCAGCTTTTGTCAAGCTGTACTCATTCAACTCTCTGTGGTAATACACATGATGGGATGGTTTGCCATATTTGGAAGATCAAGGATTTATCTATTCATGGTAGACATGTTGTAATGGCAGACAAGGGCGATTTAATATGGTAATTATTTTTATAGGAGACCAGCATTTTCATCTTCCAGCACATGAACAAACACTCAACCACACCCACACACACTTACACTGGCTTGGCGAATTAGAAATTTCTATAAATTCATCTATGCTGAGGTAAATGTCTCATGTACTCAAATTCATGAGTAAGCATTTAGAAGGTTATGTTACTGTTGAGCTGGAAAATGCCAAATTAATGACAGATTTGTCTTAGACTCCCTGTACTTTGAGATGTTTGAAAAGGATAGTTCACCCAAAACTAAAAAAATGATATCATAATTTACTCACACTAATGTTGGTTCAGACCATGGAACACAAAAGCAGAAAGCAATTACAATGAATGTTGACTTGATGCACAAGCACTATAAAATTATCATAAAATAGGAGTGTGCATTATTTCAACTCTTCTGATGTCACGTGATGGTTTTGTGAATTTCTTCCCTTTGAGTGGGCTGTTAACTATAAATGCAGCTGGATCATTAAGTTGAGGTCATTTCTATGAACTTTTTTGATTAATTGAAAATTTTCAAAATTAAAAAAGGTGATAGTACTAGTAGTCATATGCACGCACACAAGTTTTCAATTACTTTTTAAGTATATTGGAAAGAGTGGCCCAAATATATACAAAATAGGTTTATACCACATATATGTACAAAAACATATTGGATACATGCCCTCCTTAAAATTGTCAACGTTGAATCCACAACTTAACATGGATAAACCAGCTACTATTGATGCCTGGAAATTTTTTTCTTTCATTAAATTAGACTGTATAAAGAAAATGCATTCGATGGATGCGACAACTGATCTGGTGTATCCGTTCCTTTTACATATTTGTTCATTTTGGATGTTTCATTATCTATTTTGGATGTTTGAAATGCAATAAAGAAATTTGGTCAGAAAAAAAAAAGAGAGGCATTTTGGGTAAACTATCCCTTTCATCCCCTGACACGACCCATTAAGGCAAGAGATCAACACTTAAACGCAAAACAAAAAAGTAAAAACAGCAACTTCATAAGATTATTCATATTATGGCATTGTTCGCACATCATTGGCATGTTTGGTCGAGTCTAACATCTACATTTATCATTAAGTAAATGCACTAGATGAGCACACATTGAAAACTAAAGCAAAAAAAAATTTTTTTAATCCGATAACCTCTTTTGCTTGTGTAGTGCATTGCACATCTCATTATGCATGCCTCCTCCTTATCATCATTAAATGGCAAACCATAGGTGGGCTAAAATAGTTATGAAGTTCAGGGAACACAGATGGCATATTACAGTAATCGTAACAGATATGCTTATGTAAGTCCTCGGAGTGGAGAAAAACTCTGCATTATATAGTGATTTATATCATCATTTGCTATGGCTTGATTTCTCTATTCCAACAACAGGAAATAACAAACAAAAACCTGAAGCACCAACATATTCTCTTTAAAACTATCTTATGAATACATAAATAAATGCAATTATACTTTTTCCATTTAAAGGTGAAACACATCAAATGGATTTTACTATGTTACTTAGTATATACAGACACGTTATGCATTAACGTACAATTCTTTACATTGTTGAAGCATTATTTCCTGTTTGGTTTGATATTTCAAGTGCTCAGAAAGTAAAGCTCGCTGTTCAGCGTAACAGCTGCACATAACATTATTTAAGCTGCTGCTTATGAAGTTGTAACCATTTGTGGCACTGCTTTTGAAAGTTTGATGACGTCCTTACTGGGTTTATCATCTCCCCCTTTCAAAATTGACCCTACATGCGAAAAGTGTGACAGTACATCTTTAAATACCGTCTCCAAATAAGCACTAACTAACAGTCCTCCCAAAATGTCCTATAAGTGTTTAACAGTAGCAGCATGACAGCAAGGCACAGGACGAAATGTGCTGTCCACCAAATCCACTTCTAAACAACTTTAATGCTGCTTCATCTCAATCTATCTGATTGCCAGATTACACTCTTGTGCTTTCATGAGTTGGTGAGTGGGCTTTTAGCAGGTGTAATTGGGAAATCTTGATGCGGTAGGTTGTGCATGTCTATTTGATTCACAGTGTAATAGGGAGAAGTCTTGTTCCCCTACAGAGTCTAGGAAAATGGAGTTTACACAGGGTTCGGAGACCCAACTCGAGTCCAGCGGCATCCATTTTGGAAGTGTTGGATGATGACTCATCAACTTTGCACACTATTTCCTCCTCACTGAGGCAGGAAACCTGAGTTTATCGTCGTGTATTATATCCTGTGTTTGATGTACGTCTTTGAAGCTCTCAGATCTCAGTTTCGTCTGGGCTACAGTTGGAAGCAAGTGTTCTGCTGCAGCTTGTCTATAGGCCGGCAAATGGTGTTTGAGCACATTATGGAAATCTACCGCAAATATTACTGCTCTTATGCTTTATATATTAAGACAGGGTCAATGAGGTGTACTGCAGCAGTGCAAGAGAACGTGGCTATGGAAGCATGAGCCTTTTATAGTGCTATAATGCAGGTCTGTGATGATGTGACTTGTAAGCACGTTTCTGTTGCCTTTGGAGGAGGAGCAGTGAGAGTAAAAGTTGCAGAGCCTCCTCAGTCCTGCAGCAGCGCTTCTCTCCAGTTAAAGCTGTGATTGGGTCCATGCGTGAGCGGCAGGATGGGTGGATCCACAAGCTGCCAAACACCTGTCTCACCCATCTCCTCACAAGCACAAAAGCCTAAGTAAGGTATCTGTGCGAGAGAAAATGGAAGGGAGAGAGTATCTACAGTAGATTGTATATATCAAATATCATATATAACATAAAAAGACTGAAATAAAAACATAAATATATAATACTATACAAAAGGTTTTGGGTTTGTAAGATTTTTTGTTTTTGTGAATGTCTTGTGCTCACCAAGGCTGCTTTTATGTAGTCAAAAATACAGCAATATTGTAAAATATGATCAATTTAATCAAATTAATTGAACAAAAAAACAAAAAATACATTGGTTTTCTTTTTATCCTTATCATAGTCCCTGTACCCCCCAATTCTCGCTGGGAGACTCAGTGGCATATTGAGGTTTGACCGCACATACCGACCTGTTTAAGACAGAGGAAATATAAAGAAATGAGCACACATCAGGATATTAACAGGGTTCTCACACATTTTGGCCAAATAATTCCCATGATTCAGGACTTTGTACTTTGATTGCTGGATACAGTTGCTACTTTTCTCGCTGGGAGACTCAGTGGCATATTGAGGTTTGACCGCACATACCGACCTGTTTAAGACAGAGGAAATATAAACAAATGAGCACACATCAGGATATTAACAGGGTTCTCACACATTTTGGCCAAATAATTCCCATGACTTTCTTTGATTGCTGGATACAGTTGCTACTTTTTTGATATATAGCTGATTAAATATTTTAGAGCTTAATATAAGCGTTCAATTTTCAAACTCCCAATAACTCCAGATTTGACCTGGTCATGGGAACAACTGAGGTTAAAGAACTGATTTGGAAAGTTGAGCTCAGACCTTTGGCATCAAAGCACTGAGTGATCCAGTGTTTCCCAAATACTACATCCATTCTCTCACCATGGCGACACACAAACAACGTTCTCTTAGGCAATCGAGACTGATTGGGGCGTAGGATCTAAAACAAATCATAAATATTGGAATAAAACATTATACCTAAAAAAAACTTTCACATTCTGTCGCATCAACACAAGATTCCCCCTCTAGAGTTTTACCTGCATAGGTTGACATATAACGCTCAGATTGTTGGGATCCACTGGCATGGGGTCATCAAAGAGACGACCGTCCAAGTGTGGGTCAAGAAAAATCCCACCCACTGCACCCCTGATATCGGTTGGGGGGGTTACATTAAGGAAAGACAAAGACCTAAACAAGAGGTAAAGAGATGAAGAGATTTAAATATGTTAGTTACTGCTTTTAGTTCTAACATACCTTCACCACAGACACATAAGAGTTTGACACTATACTACTGATCAAGTTTTTCAAAAGAAGCTCACCAAGGATCCATTTATTTGATCAAAAATGCAATAAAACCAATAATATTCTGAAATATTATTAACTTATTCCAGTGATGGCAAAAGCTAAATGTTCAGCAACCATTACTCCAGTCTTCAGTGTCACATTATCCTTTAAAAATTATTCCTGTTATTTTCATTATTGAAAACAGCCGTACTGCATAATTTTTTTTTTTAACTATAATGCATTTTTCTGGATTCTTTGATAAATAGAAATGTCAAAAGAACAGAATGAATTTGAAATATAAATCTTTTGTAACATTACAAACGTCTTTACTGTCACTTTTGATCAATTTAATGAATCCTTGCTAAAAAAAATAAATTTCGTAAAAAAAAAAAAAAAAACTGACCCCACACATTTGAGCATAGAGTACAAGCAGCTTTGGTTACTTCTTGACCCATCTTACCCATGTAAGACCCAAGTATCACACTCGTCTGCCCTATTGACGTAGTTTTCTGGCAGTAGCCCAGATAACCCTGTGCTCATCGAGGTCCCATAGACCCAGCCCTCACTGGCAGTGGCCTGTTCTGTAGACGACATGAAGATGAAGTCACCGGGCACCAGCTCCAGTTCATCATCATTCTGAGGCACATAGGGGTACATCACCCGCAAGGTCTTAAAACAGAAAGATAGAAAGTTACAAAGCCACCAAAACCAAAAAGTCAGTATATGATAACAGAATTAATTAGTAATCTATCAGCATTAACAAAAAGAGCATTTTAATTAAATATATTCAATCATCCATTATAAATACAACAGGTTAATACTTAATACTAAGTGTATTAATACAAAGTGTATCCATCTTATTTATAATTTGGAAATTATTAAAATAATTGCACGGATACAGATGAATCAAAGTAGTGATACATTGGTATATTTTATTTGGACTTTCGATAGCAAATATTTAGTATCAACAATGGTAAATTATATACTAAATTAATAAGTGAGCAGTAGGTACACTTTTTGATTGGGACTGAAATGAACAACATGGTAAGTTTAATTTTATTTTTAAAGTAAGAACATATCAATGATAAAATGCTTCTGACTCCCTGACAGCAGAGGGCAGCAGTAAACCATTAAAGGTGACGTGCACACAAAACTGAGTTTCAGATTATATGTGAGCCCACCTCATAGTGTAATGTTTCTTTTCAGTGTGTGTTTGTGCTCAAGTTAAAATGCAACATATTATCATTTCAAAGCTTAAAGAGTGTCTGTGGCTCAGCACGGTTCAGCTGAAATGAATGGCTGTAAAAAAAACGACAAGGGTCACGGTGAACGTGTGTGGGTGTGCACACTCACCAGTCACAGGATGCTTGTACATTTCTGCCCCCAGTCGAAACCAGCGCTTTTAGCCTGTAACAGAAAGGACACAGAGAGAGAGAGAGTGAGAGATCAGCTCAATTGCTGTACTGGTCACAAAATCAATGGCCTCCTTTCCGGAGGATGTTTATCAGTACATTAGTGCTGAGGAGTTTTCTCAGAGATCTAAATTTGATATCACAGAGATGTTCCTCTATTGTTTCTATCTTTGTATATGAAACATATTGTTTATCGTGCATGAAATCACTAAATAGGCTAAACAAACTCCATGATAACACTCCAAAACATTCCTTGTTCCCCAGAACATACTGGGAAAGCTGGATAATCACTTGTTTACAGACATTTATGAATATTGAGGCGGCTTAATTTTCTGGATTCGTTTAAAAAGGGTTTCTGCAGGATTTTTTAAGTGCAAATTAAAGACTTTTTAAGACCTTTATTAAGACCTGCACAAATAAAATTAATACCATATGAGCGGGGTAGGGCAATGTCTATAGTACCATATTAAACTGTAAAATGACTGTAAAAAGCATAATTTACAATTCATATACAAGTTTTCACAAAAAAACTCAGGAACGAAACACCATCATGTTGCTCAGAGACGCAAAACAGCGCTGCTTTTTGTTGGAAAAATAGAGCAAAAGCTGGAAATACGGTGTCTAAAACATAAGTCAATATCACAATTGTAATCATGTTGACTTTTGGAGAAAAAAAGAGCACTCTTCGTGTGATATTAACTATATGAAATTATATAAATATATACATTTTCTGCCCCCATATCTTGAATTCTGTGATAATTCGAAATGCATTTTAATAGACGATTCATGCAGTGAAAGAACACACTCTAAATGCGCGTACTAGTTTAACCTATATTAACTGACTTCATCACCTAATGTATGTGTGCAGACTGTGCACTCGGTAGGTGTGTTTTGTTTGCTTTTTGCGATGTAGGGCCTACTCGATAATGTTGAATCGCACATCATTAAAACAACAATTACGATATCGCAGACCAAATATATCACACACCTTACGGTTTAGATTTTTATAATGCATTGTCTTCTTATCTATCCACCAGTTCACATTTAAATCTCTGCATGTTTGCAAGGTAAAAACATGGGTCGATTTTCGCATTGGTCTGAACAAAACAACAGGCTTTTTGAAAATGCTCATTCTCTGCCAGCAGGTGGCACGTTTGGTAGAAATATCACTGTTTCCCTGGTAACGGCAGAACACAAAGCAGCTCAGCATCGGACTTTGAACCTGCAGCGCTCATGTTTATTTAATGAAATCGTAGCCTTTTTTGAAGTTTAATCGTCACATTCAGCCATATCGCAATTCTGGTCTTTCCATACCCAAATTTAAGACCTCTTGAAATCATAATTAAGACTTTATTGTACAATTTAAGACTTTTAAGGCCTTAAATTTGATAACTAAATTTAAGACTTTTTAAGACACAGCGGAAACCCTGTTTAAAGAGGGCCAGGTGAGCCAAAGCCACCTACAAGAAGAGCTGAAACACATGCAGTGAGGCACAAAAGACTACACAGAGAATTTAAGGTTCTGTACTATTTATAGATCCCTAATTAAATAAGCAAATTTGTGTCATTTATTATGTGACTTTATCTTTGTACAAAAGATCCAGTTTCACTAACATGTGGAGTTCTGTGTTCTGCTGTCATTAAAACAAATACTTTAAATATCAAATATGAATTAATCTGAAACAGCTTATTTTTTTTCTCAAAATACAAAAGACAATTCAAAAGACAATTGTACAGACAATTCAAAATACAGACATTTTTAAGAGTGGTCTCAAGACTTTTGGACCCCACTTTCAATGCAAATAATAACAAGTGAAAACCACAACATTTAGTCTCCCAGACTATAAATAATGAAAATGATTTCTAAAATAATATTTAATATACAGTTCACTGTAATATTTGATTCTAACTGATCAAATATTTGGTGCATAAAGACTGAATAATTTAACTAAAAATTCTAAAACATAATTGAAATTTTTCATATTTATTTTAAAAGTTTGAACTTTCTATTCAAAGAATCCTGAAAAAAATGTATAATGGTTTCCACAAAAACATATTAGACAGGACAACTGTTTTCAACATTGATAAGAAGAAACGTTTCTTGAGCAGCAAATCAGCATATCAGAATGATTTCTGAAGGATCATGTGACCCTGAAGACTGGAGAAATGACTGTTGAAAAATCAGCTTTGCCAACACAGAAAAAAATTTGCATTCAAAAATGCATTAATATTTTGTGATCAAATAAATGCAGCCACAGGAAGACACTTCAATCAAAAACGTTTTTTTTTTTACAACATTTACACACCGCAAATTTAAACGGTAGTGTATATTTTTAAAGAATGCTATATTTTGCATGCGTAAAGAGCAACCCCTGAATTTATCAACATACTAAACATCTCACAAAGGCTCACCAAGTATGACTCATTTAGCAGATGTCTGGCTTTAAAAGATCATAGTGGAAAATAATATCACTTGGTCTGTGGTTTAAACAACCGTGATGAAAAAGGAAATGTGTGCTATCTCTCAGTTCATAAAACACTTGCCACAGCCTCCTCTCTGTCTCTAGTTCTCTTTTATTCTCGCTTTTATCATATAGACCTAAAAGGTGTAATTATAAGCTATCTCACACTTGGTACAATAATTTAGGGTCACAGACCCACTTATTTGTATGAGGCCATTTCTAATACACGCACACACATTCACAGTTAGTGGAAGTACATTACTTGGTACAGATAATTGCACAATCTTCTCATGTGTAGGATGATATTATTTCTTCAGCTCACATCTATACCATAAAACAACACATAATTCAATCTAAGGTCTCGCTAAACTCACTTTGTCATTTCCTCATGTGTCAGCTGACATCTCAAAGGCTTTTTTCCTGAGCCGATTAAATTATCTTCTAAATCCAATTAGTGTCTTTTTATAAAAGCTCTAAAAATCACACACTCTGACTAACTCTCAAGGGAAATGGGGTGTTGTGAAGCGTGGATCTGTTTGAAACCTCAAGTAAAACTGAAAATGGAGCCTGAGGTTTGAAGAAAGCAGAAAGAAAAACGGACTAAAAGACAACAGAAAGGGTTGGTCTGCTGATCAGCAATGAGCAATCAGTGGAAATATGATTACTCTTGTGATACATTTAATCTCATGTGACCACAGACATTCCATTTCCACCAACTTAGAATCAGTAAAAATTATTCAGCAATGGATAAATGAAACAATACCAATGAAGCAGAGCAACATTTCACTACAATTGTATAGACGTGCTTCCCTTACACCTCACAAGAAAAACCATGACAAGACACAAGAACAGAGAAGTCGCGCGTCAGAGATGAGGGAAATTATGTAAATTATGCAGACTGTTCAAAGTACAGGAAGCCTTTGGTGATCGGCGCTCCACGATGTGTATCTGACAGTCTATCAGCGCATTATAAGCAAACTAACAACAAACATTTCCATTTATGTTCATTGCAGATGCACCAAAGTTATGTATAATAGAGATCCTTCACCATTTGCGGCAAAGTATGAAGTAAAAACGATAATATTTTGAAATATTATTACAATTCAAAATAAGAGTTTTCTATTTGAATATAGTTAAAAATTGTATTTATTCCTCTGATGGCAAAAAGCTGAATTTTTAGCAGCCGTTACTCCAGTTCTCAGTGTCAAATGATCCTTCAGAAATCATTCTAATTTGCCGATGTGTGCTAAAGAAACATTTCTTATTATTAATCAATGTTAAAATCTTGAATGAATAGACAGTTGAAAAGAACAGCGTACTGCCACCTTTGATCAAATTAATGTAATTTATAAAAAAAATCATTAAATGTTCACACACACATAATGTTTATTTGTTGGTTGGTTTATTTAATTTATTTTCCTCAGTTACATTTAAATTTGAAGATTACTGTAAAAGTCAGTAGTATGTGCATTTTGTGTGTGGTAATCCAGTTCACAGTCTATGCACAGTGCTCAAGGCTTCTTTTTCTTCCCAGAAAAAATGGTCATCATGCCAACTAACCCTCAGGGCCCAATGCATGCTGGGATGGGGAAGCCCATGAAGCACGGCCATATGTCCATGAGTACATGAACATATATGCTCAATTACCCCAAAAAACTTTGCAAAGATGTATGCATTTATACACTCCCAAGCTAAACACATATGAAGAAATTCAATCATGCACATAGTGCCAAACTATAAAGTGTGCATATTCACACACACAAATAAACTCCGGACACGACACAC